CATGCTGCGACTGTGTGGGAACATCAGTGCAGTTGTGCTCTGGTATTAACCTAATGACAGCCTTCACCACTGCTCAGATCAGCCCCTACCTGCTCCCCTAGCCTTGTATTCTCAGCTTGACAGGGCACAAAACTTCACCTTCACAACATTTGGAGGAAATTCAAAGACCGAATGTTGAAGAACCAGTTTATTGTAGTTATGACTAGACTAGGACGGCAGAAGTGAAGATCTCCTCAGAGAGCTTAAGGCATACCAAACCCGTGCAAATGGTGAATTTCAGAGGTGAGATTAAAATCTTTTTATTCTCTCTAAAGGACTCAGAACACTTTTATGTTAGAATAGATTACACTAATGGTTTGAGCTAATACATTTTTCTCATTTACTTTGAGTCATTGTGGGTGGCTTTTATTAAAGATTTGGCTGTGCTTTGAACGCACCATTGATAATTAAGTTTGAGTAAGAAGATTTCTTTAGACCCATCTTTGTAAATGCTGCAATCCCTGCAATGTTAAGGTGACTGAATGTAATGTTACTGAAGAAAAATACAGAGGTTGGACAAAAACGATTTTTTTCCAAAAATTTTTCTTTTTTTTAAATGACTTTATTGATAGTCTTGTCAAACTCAGACAACCAACCTGCTCTTACATGCTACATAGAAAAAAAATAAAAATAATAACTTTAGACAACTGTTTTAATGGTTTTGATTTCGAAGAGGTCTAAAGGGCACATTCTGCTCTGAAAAAAACGCTCATTATTTGCAAAGTAACTTGAGCGATAGCTCTGAATGTGTGCCGGAGGTGAATAAGTTGTCTTACAATGGCAGGCTGCTGCTTATTTCATGTAAAACAGAGAGGTTATCGTTAGACCGAGCTTGATAAGACATGCTTTAAACCTATTTTTTCTTGAGCTCAAGGGACATATTCATCAAAGTGATACATTTTCTGTTCAAAGTAAAAATAGCATGTGAGATTTACAGCTTTATTTGTATGTGCACATTTAAAAATCTGTTTTAATCCAATGTTAAGGAGTGCTAATCATTTTTGCACTTTGCAAACCTTTGGTTAATAACCCCTGAGTTTGTCTTTGCTGTGGCGTCATTATTCCACGCCTCTCGTTGGTCATAGGGTTTCCCTGCCCTGACTGGGTGAGCAGCTTTTTTCAAATTTGAACTGGCTGACTTGAAATGAAAACAGAAATGAGTCAAAGAGGAGGAGTAATTATTCCAAGCAAAAACTCTGCTGTTCCTGTGGCTAGAATGTAGACTTTGATTGGGAGTTCACAAAAAAGGTGACGATTTGGAATGCAAATTGTAGAGAGTAGTGAATTTAGGGAAGTGATTTTGGGGTATGCTAAAAGGGTGAGATCGACACCTTGAAACACGCGCTTCGTCTTAGCGAGTCCAAGAATACTTCAGGGTCACATTTCTAAGGGACCTCCCATGTAGTACTTTTTATGCTTCTCCTGACCCATCCCCCAAATCCTTGGTCTCATCTCCTTGTAAACAATCATGTAAGCCGTCATCCATCGCTGATGCTTTCTTTCATCACCTAGCATTTATCAGTCCCCCTGGGATTTTTGTGATTGCATGATCAGTAAAAACCCATAATTGTGGTCATCTGCAACTTTATTCCCAGATAAACACAATACGGCGCATACACTCATAACTAGTATGCGCCTGATGTCAGAAAGTGCTACCCTTTCCTCCCTTCTCTCACTCAGCTGCTCACAGATTTACACGACTCAAACTAAGGCCCTGTTTATACTGAGACGCTGCACAGACGTTTCCAGGCTATTAACAGAAACGACCTGGCTCCTAATGCAAATGTCTCAGCGTTCACATGAGGTTGAAAAACGATGTAGTTCTAGCGCCCGGCCAGTAGTGGGCAGAGAAACTATACAACACTCTCACGACCCCCAGCCCCGTGCCCAGCCCCCCTCTCGGCAGTATACTCACTTCCTGTGCCAGACCCTCAGAGAGTACCAACATCATTCTGCATTTTAACAGCAGCTGTGAAAATGGGAACTGAACCTAGAGCTTCGCGTGGTCTTGTTTGGACGAACGAAGGAGTAGAGTTATCCTCTGTCCCGCGCTGGAAGCCCACGTAGCTAGTTTGTGTGGGCGGCGCCATTATTGTTGATGATTGTTCTCCGCTACTGCGCATGTCCAAATTTACGTGCGGGGAGCAGCGCGGAGGTGGGGGTCAGAGCAGAGGGGGATTTCACACCTTTCCCCTCTCGCGAGTGTGAAATAGAGCCCCTGCTGTGCAGCGTTTCTGAGTTGTCCCACTCTGCAGGCTGGATCTGAACACTTACGTTTTCACCCCCCTGGAACACAGTCTTCGTATGAACGGTTGGTAGCAACCGACATCCAACTATACCGTTTTACTGCCACATTGTCTCCGTGTAAACTCAGCCTAAGAAACAAGCGTTTGGATGTTTTCACACGTTTATGACCTCATGCACCTCTTTACATAATTTGATAAACCTCTGTTTAATTAAGTTAATTAAACAGAAGCTTGCAGTCGAGTGCAATTGTGCAGACCATTGGCACAAGTGGCAGCTCTATCTGGAGCTCTATCTGCGGCTCTATCTGCGGCTCTATCTGCGGCTCTATCCGCGGCTCTATCTGCGGCTCTATCTGCGGCTCTATCTGGGGCTCTGTACAAACAGTGGTGAATCTGAATCCGAGGCTTTACCTTGTGTGGTCATTATTTTGAGGTCTTTGATCTGGTTTCCTGTTGTCCACCCTCCTCGCTGTTCCGCAAATGTGTTAAGCATCATTGCGTTGATGTGTCTATCATGTAAGTAATTATCACTATTTTCTCCACTCCAGTGTGACCATATCAGGGGCAGACAAACCCACAGCTTTTTGATGATGTCAGTGGTTTTGGCACATGGTTTGTTTGTGCAAGTCTTGTGGCTCTCACTTAGTTTTGTCAAATCCACTTGAAAAATGAGCGGCAACATCTTTCCCTTCTGTGCCTCCAGGAGCCCACATGCAATTTTTTATTTTATTTTTATTCACCTTTGCCTTTTGCCCAAATCACAGAAGTGGCTCAGGTCTCACATGGTGACAGTAGGAGGGAGACTGCCAGGAGAATTCCGGGTGCAGTGCACATCCCAGATTACCCAGGGATATAAAATGCATAAAATCCCTGGGTTTTTCTGGATCCCTGGGAAGGACTAGATGGATTATAAAGAGTTTATTTAATAACAATTTAATAACAATTGTAAACCGCTTTGTGACTCTGGTCTGTGAAAGGCTGTGTATAAATAAAGATCACTTACTTACTTACTACTTACTTACTTACTACTTTATTGATTTTATAGAAGGAATCATAGCATCTAAGATCAAATGGCTGACCACTTTTAATCCACTTGTTTTCATACTTTCTACAGTATTCAAAACCACAATGTGAGGGCTGTATATGTTTTCATGGTTATAACTTTGACTGTGTTAGAGGGAGGAGGCTGTAAACGTCACTGTGAAAAATCTTGTTGTCACAAAGTTCTTTCTGTGTTATTGGCTCTTGCTTCTTTTAGCGGTGACTCACCATCCGGCCAGGTACAGGATCCATTTCTGTCAACAGATATAATGAGGTCATGACTATTTCTCTTTCTATTACCGGAGAGTGAGACGGCGCTAACAACTAGTTTTTTGTTTTTTTTTACAACTTGTGCAAAGAACCCATCAGTACATCTCTTGTTGAATCCACTATGGAAAACCTTTAGTTTGCTACCCATCTCATGCTGTGTGTGTGTACTTTATGTCACTGCATTAAATCATGATTTCACTGGTGTGTTGTCTTAGGGCCATATGGCTTTGGTTTGTACTGTCACAGCCGAGGAGCTTTGAGGCATATGGCATGTGTGGGTGGGATTGGTGGTTGTCTGTACTACGTGTGTTCCTGGCTAGTCATCTTTTTTAATTTTTAGGGATCACTCTGGCTTGTTTCGGTGAGGTGTTGTCTTAGTGCTGATATGAATGGAGTGTGTGCATGTGCGTGCACAGTGGCTGGCATGTGTAAAGGAGCGACAGACTTGGCACTCAGCGGAGACTGAACCAAATAAAGTATGCAGGATACAAATATATTGAAACATTTTGGATGAGTTGTTTCACAACGTAGGACTTCTTTGAACAGCTCTTACAAATAGAATTGTTAATGTGTAGCCATTTTTACTTGAGGGTTATTATTTATGAATTTCAACTGTTGCACCTAGATATTGTTATGAGGTGTTTTCATAATGCTGATCTATTATATGATCCTGTGACTTGCATTATGATAGCTCTTGCAAATTGTTTTGATCAGTATCTGCTTTTCACCATGGGTTGGAAAGGAACGTGTCAAAACCAATTTCCCAACTTTCAAAATAAGCTATAATGTCACAGTGCGACTGCACAAAGGACCCGAGGGCATGTCCTTGTAATGAACTACAGCAAGTTGATCGTCCACGTGGAGCAATAAAGACACTTTCCAATCTGATTTTTTTGTTTTTTTTGTTTACAAAAATTACAAATATAAACGATGAGCAAAACTCAAACTTTGGGGATAATAACATTACACGTTAGCATGGCTTGTTATTCTCTCATAGCTATCTATTGTCCTTGTGTTTCTTGTGTGTAGTTTTATAACCTGACACACATTTACGCAACTGGCTATATAACAGTTTAGTGTTTTTGCTGCTTTGTTTCCTGATTTTTTTGGTCAGTAAAAAGTTGACATGTATGGACTTTTACTGAAAAGGCTGCACTTTGTAATATGTGTTCTTCTTGTATGCATTATTATTTCATATATAAATAATACATATATTTTTTTATAAATACAAGGGTTATATATATATACATTTACATTGGCGTAATGGCCAATAGCTGCTAGCTGACGTGAAGTATGTTTGTGATAAATACATGTGTGTTTGTGACAGGAGGAATGCCTGCTCCTGAGCAGAGCCCTGGCATGGAGGAAGGCCCTCTGCTGAAGATCAGATCCACAGGTCGCAGCATGGAGAAGGACACCACGGCCAACCACATTCTGGCCTCCGTCAAAGAGCAGGTACAGTTAAACTTTCAAAAAATAATAATTCAAACCAAAATGTGGAGGGCAAAATGCGTCTTGCAATGCCTTTTCCAACAATGTTAAGTTTCAATATTGGTGAAGAGACAATTGCGTTGAATGTTGGTCCAACTATTCCATGAATTCTTATTGCTTTACTTCAATCTTATCCCACTATTTTTGCAGTCCATCTAAAAGATATGGGTGACTTGCATAGCAATGTCAGTTTTACAATTTCAGATTGCTCAGACTAATAAACAATTCAATTATTACCTTTTCCTTTCTGCTGACTGCAAAAATGTTGCAAAAAACAACAAATGCAAAAGTCTATTATTTGTGTGTGAGAGAAGATTAAATTCCTGGAGATGGAAAAAACCCACAATGGCAGACTGCATTGTGGAAAAGTAAAATGGAATTGACTTGGCTGTTGAAGAGGAAAGTAATATTGAGTTGGGTTTGTGGAGAGGCTGTGGTAGGACATGCCCTTTGACTCAGTCCGGTCCTGTCTCTTTGATTCATCCTCTGCCCGCTCACTCACACACTCCCTCGGGCTCGCTCAGTGTCTGTTTTTGCAGTGCCCTAGGGCTGATGTCTGTGATGATTCGGAGCTAAATGAGGGTTTATAAGATGGGTGTAAATTGTTTATTGCCACTTGTAAATGACTCTGCCAGTCCTATTGGATCATTTAGCTCTAATGAAATAGAATATGTATTTATTTTGAGTTTGCTTCAGGAAATTACAGTATTGCTCGTCAGACCAACGCGAATTGCACTCACAAAATATACAGCTGAAACTAGTGAAAAGGACCGTAGCATCTTGGGAGGCCCTAAGGAGGCTATTTAACTTTTTGTTTTTGCTTTTTTTGTTTCATAAATACATTTTATTTCTTTAGTCCAACTGGACGTTGTTTTGAAGTTACTTTTTTGTGAACAAATCAGGTCAACAAATGTTGTATTTTTCTTAATTACAAAATCTTTTACACACTTTTTGCTGGTTGAGTGAGGGCTTGTCCTCTTTTTCACTGAAAAAAAGCTGGTCTACTGTGAGAGTGGCCATAAAACCAGTGATTACAAATAGTTTTACAAAGTTTAATTATTTTTCTTCTTGTTGAGTTGCCCTGTGAATGAACTGTGCCATACAAATGAACTCTCCTTGCTCCATCTTTAAAATGCAAATATTCTCAGTTATTGTAAAATATTTCTTGAAAATGGAATCTATTTGTCAAGCAAAACTAACTAGGAACCTTTACCTATTCTGTGGCTCCACTTGTAACAGGAAAGTGTCCATTGTTTACATTCCGAAAAGGAAGGAAGGCTAGAAGGAGGGGGCAGCACCTTGCTATGTCACTTCCTCCTTTCCTGGTGACTCGTCTGGTCGGCGCACATATCCAAGCAGGAAAAGCCAGTCATCCACCACTGCTTTCCACTCACACTGACAGACTGGAGCCGTGCCTCAGAGCAGCTGGGAGGGACACATTATCAGGCCTTTTATGCGTTGCACGTGTAAATACTGGTGATAGTAAAAAGGAGAACTACGTGGACTTTCTTTCCCCGTTGATTGTTTTCGGACTTTCAATGGATTTCATTTTGTTAAGAACATGGAGGTTTGCGTTGCAGTAGAGGTGTAACACGAGAGGTAAGTTTGCCTGATTCTTACAGGCTTACTACATTTGGAGACATTGCTTGTGAACATCCTGTAGTTCTATTTGCTGTAGTGGGTTCGACTTTGCTCATACAGGACCACATGCACCTACCTATTATGATGGATTATTAAGAGTATTCATTCGCATTTGCCTTTCTAGGATAGGAATGAATATTTGCAGTAAATACAATTAAGCTTTTATTGTAGATTTTAGCAGTAAATCACCATGTATTCATGGGTTTGGTTGAAGAGTATGTGCAAAAGTAACAACACAAAGACTTTTTTGGGTCCTCATCCACCATTTATAATTCATGTACCACATTAATCTATGACTTTTTTTGACTATTTTTAGCCTTTATATCCCCAAAGCGTAATGCATAATTAACAGCTGAGATAATCCATCTTTGTTATTATAATTGAGTTGATTTTCCAATTTAACCAAAGCAGTGGCTTAAGAGACAGTCTTTTTATCTTCAATTTTTGTTATGTTTTATGTTTTAATGGCATTACCTTATATTTGCCTTCTATCCTTGTGTGAATTCAGGCAACACATATACAGAGCTTAAAGTTTTCCGGCACCGTGCCGGAAATCCGGCGTGAGAAAAAAAAAAAAAAAAATCACTTTTTTTTTTTTAATATATATATAAATAAATAATGATTGCTGTCATTTGAAAAAGGTTCAAGTGTGTTCTACCAATTGTATGAAAGGATTGCATGTGTATAGCGCAGGGATTAAAGAGTTCCCTCTAAGTGACGGATTTCCGTCAAATGAAATTGGTCTGAAAAAAAAACAAAATATATAATAATAATATAATACACACAATGAAATGGTTAATTATAACAAAATATATAGTAATACGTGTGAATCTGTTGTATATATCTAGATATATATTAATAATTTGAATATAATTGTATTTATATGTATATAGAAATAAAAAGTAATATAATCACGAGTGGGCCTTGAACGTGCCGTGGCTAGCTACATGAGCGCTCCGTAAATGATTCAAGGCAATGGGACGTAGCCAAGTTAGCGATGGTAACACGGAGGTGAAAGTTTCTGAAAAGTGCACGGAGCTTTTGAAAAGGAGAAGAGGACAAGGAAAATGTAATCCCGAACGGAGCAATAACAGCCAGCAGCCCGCGGACCGGTAAACTGGGCGCGTTATCAGAGGAAAGGTAGGACATAATTAACGTTTACCAAACGCAATGCTTTTTTATTTAACGGAATGTACAATATGTACTTTGCTGTGACTGGGAATGGGGACAAGCATGTCTTGGTGAGCTTTTGATAATATCTTGGTGGCGATCCGCATGCAAAACTGCGTGATAAAAAAGCAAATCAACGAGAACGAACGGAAGAAACTCGCTGAAGAAAGGTGTGTGTTAGCAGGTCTTATATTCATTCATCAAAGCTAGCCTAGCATTCACGCACAATCACAATCATGGATCGTTGTTTATGGAAGAAGGAGCTGTATAAGTTGCTGTTGATAACGGAGTGAAAAATAAATGGAGGTGGGCATGGCTGGATGAGGTGGAGACGATGGGATTCTGTTGCTTCATGGTGCAAAAAGATGAAGGTGTCCGGTGCTTGTTTGTACTTCGCTATTATTATTTTTTTATATGGGAGTAATGAGAAAACAAATCAAACAGCTTTGGATTCACCACCAGCTCAAAACTGCGCACTTGGCAGCTGTCCGTGCACTTTCCCACACTTCTTTACCTGGTGCATCAAATTCAGCGACAACTGAGACTAGGCTTGCTCTGGTGGACTGTGTCTGTGACCTAAAACTATCTGTGGCTTTATCGCAGAAAATAACCTGTCGTTCAGAACCATCACTACCGCTGGTAGATTTAATTATCATTAATCATTTGCAGTTGATAAAACTGCGCTGTGCACTAGCACCAAGTTGATAGGGAAACCTTTTTCTTAAACATTGAGTGTCCACAAACAAATGTGGACAGAATTTTGAATGTCCTTTTTAACATTTTGGGCGGAGGGTTTAATGAGGAGGCTACTTTGTCTGAACAATTAAATAGAGGGAAAAAACCGCATGGTCCAGAGGAGGAAGCAGCTGGTGCAGAGGAGAGTTGTCTGGCTGGTCCAGAGGAGGAGGCAGCTGGTGCAGAGGAGAGTTGTCTGGCTGGTCCAGAGGAGGAGGCAGCTGGTGCAGAGGAGAGTTGTCTGGCTGGTCCAGAGGAGGAGGCAGCTGGTGCAGAGGAGGAGGCAGCTGGTGCAGAGGAGAGTTGTCTGGCTGGTCCAGAGGAGGAGGCAGCTGGTGCAGAGGAGAGTTGTCTGGCTGGTCCAGAGGAGATGATAAAAAGGCTGCAGCCCCACCGCACCAGCCAGACAACTCTCCTCTGCACCAGCTGCCTCCTCCTCTGGACCAGCCAGACAACTCTCCTCTGCACCAGCTGCCTCCTCCTCTGGACCAGCCAGACAACTCTCCTCTGCACCAGCTGCCTCCTCCTCTCCACCAGCTGCCTCCTCCTCTGGACCAGCCAGACAACTCTCCTCTGCACCAGCTGCCTCCTCCTCTGCACCAGCTGCCCACTCCTCTGGACCAGCCAGACAACTCTCCTCTGCACCAGCTGCCTCCTCCTCTGGACCAGCCAGACAACTCTCCTCTGCACCAGCTGCCTCCTCCTCTGGACCAGCCAGACAACTCTCCTCTGCACCAGCTGCCTCCTCCTCTGGACCATGCGGTTTTTTCCCTCTATTTAATTGTTCAGACAAAGTAGCCTCCTCATTAAACCCTCCGCCCAACATGTTAAAAAGAAAGCATACAGATAATTCACACCCTAAACAAAAGAAAAAGAAATGAATATTTCAAACAGTACTGTTAGCATTTGTGTTGTTTTGTAATGTTTTACCAAATCAAAGTCTATTGAAAGTTAACACAGGTGCTTTATGAAGACACACAGCACAAAGCTCATTTGCACTTTAGTTTCATTTATTTGTGTTGAAAGCTAAATGTTTAATAAGTAGAATTTAAAAGTTAAGGTTTATTTATATATTTAAGGTTGAATCTGGAAGTGTTCTTGTTGCCTGATCCAGTGTTTTTAGTTTTTGTATGTCATATCTGATGTCTAGTTTGGATGTTTAATCAGTTTACAGTTTACACATAAAATGTTAGTAATAACATCAATAATAATTAAAAAAAAGAAAATAGTATATTCACTTACTGTGATGTGGTATGTTTTTTTTTTTTTTTTTACATTATCACACAAATCCAAACTAGGGGTACTTGCAGAAAGGTCTTGGCAAGGTGAGGCTTTACATTTAAGTAACAATTCAATAGTCAGATGATGTATTTATTGCCAACAACTGATGTTTATAATAAACATCAGTTGTTGGCAAT